GGCTGGGTCCTCTGCTCTCCCATTTGGCAGTGCCCCCTTGTAGGCCTTCCTGCGGGTGGTGGGCCTACCGCTCTTAGTCTGATCCGTCGCCTAGGACCTGTTTGCCTTGGGAGACATTGGCATTAAGCCCCCGACAACATAGCTCCTAGGTTCATTCGGATACACAAACCCCCCACCACGTTAAGGTTGCGGTTCAAGGAGGGGCTTATCCTTAAATAAAATAAATATTGACTGGACTTAATTTGAATAAAGTAAATTAGTAAAAATTAAGTACATTCTTTTCACTGTGTCTCACTACCAAATGACCTACGGACTGGTACTGGTCCATGGACCAGGGGTTCGGGACCCCTGATCTATACAGTCTTCCATTTACAACCGGCCCTTCAAGGGGAACTGTATTGCTGATGTGGCCCTGGGTGAAAATGAGTTTGACACCCCTGTTTTAAATAATACATCTCTGTTATAATCACTTCAAATTTCAAAGGCTTAAACCGATAGCCAGTTTGTATAAATTGCTCAAATAAGACAAAAACCTGTGAACACATCACTTGGGTGAATTTTATAGTCGTCCACTCATTTGATCAAGCCTGTTGTCCCAAACTTTTTGTGACTGTTGTATTATCGGCTCCAGTCTGTCGACGGTGTCACAGACTGGTCAAGAGTTTGGGTTTAAACACTGGCGATGCATAAAGGCAAGGTTCCGTGTAACATTAGAGCTGCAGCACTGTGAAAGCTCACTAAAGGTGAGTTATTTTTAGAGTTAAATTTGTCCTTAGGGCAACTGTGTTGGAGGAACAAGTTACCTGCTGTTCATCACTGAAGGCAGATGGTCTGCCTCTGCAGCGCAAGCAGGACAATAAATCAAGAGTACAACAGACGGGAGTGTTGTCGATGGTGAAACAATAACAAGATATCAATTAATGTTTATTGTCCAGCTCTCATCTACCATTGATCTGAACAGAGTCGGTGTGTATTGACAAGGCTTTGGCAGTTCCGGGTTCTGATTTTTTTTTTTCTATTCTTGTCCATGAACTGGTTTATATGCGTATATTAGATCTGTAGCTGTTGATGATCATTTCTGACCTTTCTGTGTGAGGTCAGAATCTGAAAAGTTTTCCAGTGTTTGAATATTTGATATTGTTAGGTTCAAACTAACATATATGACGACAAAGTAAACAACACAAAAGACGTCTTGATCTTTTACTTGCAAGGGGAGAGTGCAGCTTACTCTTCTGGCAGCTTCCTCATCAACTCCGAGTAGCCACACCCTTCCTCTGCACTTTTATTGAGTTTATAAAAGTATCAGATTACATATCATGTGATCGTGTGTGAGTATATGAATGGGTATCGAGTAAGAAGGTGGGTGTGAATGTGGGTGTGACTGTGTCTGGTAATTTCTCCATCAGTCTTGAGCACACTAGATTATAATATGAGAAGCAAACAGTTTCTTAAAGCGACAGTACA